CAGTAGGCTAAGTTATGAAGGGGAAAGGAAGGGACCAAATTATTAGAGTAAGGCACATGGGCTACTGACAGCTTACTATACAACATACATTTAGTATTACTTTCTTAGCTACAGTACACATATCTCCCTTGCATATTACATAATTTATGCAGAAGACATTTTTGGACTCACCTTGTTGTGCTGTGCTCACTTGAACAGGAAGGTGGCGCTGCGGTCCTTCTTGTGGGCAAATTTTGTCATCAAATTTTGTCATCAAAGTCTGGCATTCTCTGGTTTTATGGTGCTTTCAAGACAACTGGGAACTAGGATAAAAACAAGGTCGAATCATGACATCAGTGATCTTCAGGTCGGAGCTCTAGAAAGAGGCCCGAGTTCCCGACTTGGAATTCTGAGTTGCATGACCGTTCAAAGATGTCTTGAACTCACTGAAGTCTGAGATTTCCCAGTTCCGAGTTTCCAGTTGTTTTGAACGCGGCATAAGTCATGCTTGACATGATCTGTCCAATCAAAGCTACGGTAGATATAATGTGATTTGTCATCATTTTATCTGTTGCCAATGACCTTGAGCCTTCTTGGATGGGCAATGTAACTCTATGGCAGCACCCAAGGGGCTTGAATTTTAGAGCTCCCAGTAGATTTTGCGGTGACGTAGTGTCCCCATTAATGACAGAACACTGAGCCAATCACGGCGCAACTAGAGAACATTGCCAACCCCTACGCTCCATATTTTCAGCTGGCTGCCCACCACCACAGAAAGCACTGAGCTAGGCTGAAACACCTGCATTTTGGAGCTGCCTTACTCAAGCAAGCAAAAAAAGAGACCATGTTTGTATGCTGCTTTTTTTACTCAATGATTGTTTGCAAACTGATATGACATATATTAATGCCAAAATAACATGCAAAACAGGCACAAATATACAGTACCAGTCAAAAGTTTGGACATACCTACTCATTCAAGGGTTTTTCTTTATTTTTACTATTTCTACATTGTAGAATAATAGTGAAGACATCAAACCTATGAATTAACACATATGGAATCATGTTGTAACCAAAAAAGTGTTAAACAAATCAAAGTATATTTTATATTTGAGATTCTTCAAATAGCCACCCTTTGCCTGATGACAGCTTTTCACACTCTTGGCATTCTCTCAACCAGCTTCACCTGGAATGCTTTTCCAACAGTCTTGAAGGAGTTCCCACATATGCTGAGCACTTCTTGGCTGCTTTTCCTTCACTCTGCCGTCCGACTCATCCCAAACCATCTCAGTTGGGTTGAGGTCGGGGGATTGTGGAGGCCAGGTCATCTGATGCAGCACTCAATCACTCTCCTTACACAACCTGGAGGTGTATTGGGTCATTGTCCTGTTGAAAAACAAATGATAATCCCACTAAGCCAAAACCTGATGAGATGGCGTATCGTTGCAGAATGCTGTGGTAGCCATGCTGGTTAAGTGTGCCTTGAATTCTAAATAAAACACAGACAGTGTCATCAGCAAAGCACCCCCACACCATAACACCTCCTCCTCCATGCTTTACGGTGGGAACTACACGTGTGGAGATCATCCGTTCACCCACACCGCGTCTCACAAAGACACGGCGGTTGGAACCAAAAATCTCAAATTTGGACTCCAGACCAAAGGACAGATTTCCACCGGTCTAATGTCCATTGCTCATGTTTCTTGGCCTAAGCAAGTCTCTTCTTCTTATTGGTGTCCTTTAGTAGTGGTTTCTTTGCAGCAATTCGACCATGAAGGCCTGATTCACACAGTCTCCTCTGAACAGTTGATGTTGAGATGTGTCTGTTACTTGAACTCTGTGAAGCATTTATTTGGGCTGCAATTTCTGAGGCTGGTAACTCTAATGAACTTATTCTCTGCAGCAGAGGTAACTCTGGGTCTTCCTTTCCTGTGGTGGTCCTCATGAGAGACAGTTTCTTCATAGCGCTTGATGGTTTTTGTGACTGTACTTGAAGAAACTTTAAAAGTTATTGAAATGTTCCTGTCTTAAAGTAATGATGGACTGTCATTTCTCTTTGCTTATTTTAGCTCTTCTTGCCATAATATGGACTTGGTCTTTTACCAAATGGGGCTATCTTCTGTATACCCCCCTTACCTTGTCACAACACAACTGATTGGCTCAAATGAATTAAGAAGGAAAGAAATCCCACAAATTAACTTTTAAGAAGGCACACCTGTTAATTGAAATGCATTCCAGGTGACTACCTCATGAAGCTGGTTGAGAGAATGCCAAGAGTGTGCAAAGCTGTCATCAAGGCAAAGGGTGGCTATTTGAAGAATCTCAAATATAAACTATATTATGATTTGTTTAACACTTTTTTGGTTACTACATGATTCCATATGTGGTATTTCATAGTTTTGATGTCTTCACTATTATTCTTTAATGTAAAAAAACAGTAAAAATAAAGAAAAACCCTTGAATGAGTAGGTGTTGGCAAATTTGACAGGTAGTGTGTATATACAGTGGTGTGAAAAAAAGTGTTTTCCCCCTTCCTGATTTCTTATTTGCCACACTTAAATGTTTCAGATCAAACAAATTTAAAATATTAGTCAAAAAGATAACACAAAATGCAGTTTTGAAATGAAGGTTGTTATTAAGGGAAAACAAAATCCAAACCCACATGGCCCTATGTGAAAAAGTAATTGCCCCCTACAACCTAATAACTGGTTGGGCCACCCTTAGCAACAACAACTGCAATCGAGCGTTTACGATAACTTGCAATGAGTCTTTTACAGCGCTGTGGTGGAATTTTGGCCCACTCATCTTTGCAGAATTGTTGTAATTCAGCCACATTGGAGGGTTTTCGAGCATTAACTTCCTTTTTAAGGTCATGCCACAGCATCTCAATAGGATTCAGGTCAGGACTTTGACTAGGCCACACCAAAGTATTCATTTTGTTTTTCTTCAGCCATTCAGAGGTGGACTTGCTGGTGTGTTTTGGATCATTGTCCTGCTGCAGAACCAAAGTTTGCTTCAGCTTGAAGTCATGAACTGATGGCCGGACATTCTCCTTCAGGATTTTTTGGTAGACAGCAGAATTCATGGTTCCATTTATCACAGCAAGTCTTCCAGGTCCTAAAACAGCAAAACAGGTCCAGACCATCACACTACTACCACCATATTTTACTGTTGGTATGATGTTCTTTTTCTGAAATGCGGTGTTACCTTTACGCCAGATGTAATGGGACACACACCTTCCAAAAAGTTGTCTCGTCAGTCCACAGAGTATTTTCCCAAAGGTCTTGGGGATCATCAAGATGTTTTCTGGCAAAAATGAGACGAGCCTTAATGTTCTTTTTGCTCAGCAGTGGTTTTCGTCTTGGAACTCTGCCATGCAGGCCATTTTTGCCCAGTCTGAACACTGACATTAACTGAGGCAAGTGAGGCCTGCAGCTCTTTGGATGTTGTTGTGGGGTCTTTTGTGACCTCTTGGATGAGTCGTCGCTGCGCTCTTAGGGTAATTTTGGTCGGCTGGCCACTCCTGGGAAGGAGTCCCAAAGGTTTAGAAATGGCTTTATAACCTTTTCCAGACTGCTGGATCTCAATTCCTTTCTTTCTCATTTGTTCCTGAATTTCTTTGGATCTCGGCATGATGTCTAGCTTTTGAGGATCTTTTGGTCTACTTCACTTTGTCAGGCAGGTCCTATTTAAGTTATTCCTTGATTGAGAACAGGTGTGGCAGTAATTAGGCCTGGGTGTGGCTAGAGGAATTGAACTCAGGTGTGATAAACCACAGTTGAGTTGTGTTATAACAGGGGGGGCAAACACTTTTTCACACAGGGCCATGTAGGTTTGGATTTTGTTTTCCCTTAATAATAACAACCTTCATTTCAAAACTGCATTTTGTGTTTACTTGTGTTATCTTTGACTAATATTTAAATTTGTTTGATGATCTGAAACATTTAAGTGTGACAAACATGCAAACAAATAACAAATCAGGAAGGGGGCAAACACTTTTTCACACCACTGTATATACACACTTTATTTTTTTGCTAAACAGGTCGGGCTCAAAACAGGAATGGCCTGAATGACGGGTCGCCACTGTCTGTTGTCAACGAACTCAATTTATTCCAAACAGGGGTTGAACCATCATCCCAATAATTTAGGTAGCCTAGTAAACGATGCACCCTTCTGGTATGTTCTATTGCGAACTGTCTGGGACTCATCGTTTCCCTGTTTGACTTATTAAGTCAAATACGAAATTAACTGCAATACACTGGTCTCAAATATATTAGCATAACTAGCCTACAAAGAACCACGGCGGACCCAACGTAAATTGAGATGCTTTTTCTTCATATTAAAACGTGCCCCACCCAGTGCAACATGCCTAACTCTGCCCACTGGGGCGTGGCTTACGGAGCGCTCTGAAATAAACGCTCGTAACGCAGTATTCCAACGGATCGAGTGACCTCACCACATATGCACATAGACTGCACAATCCTCACTCACTAGATGCGCAATTAAAGTGCCAGATGCGCAATTAAAGGGGAATAACACTCAAATCAAAATGTGTTCGTTTTCTTCCAGACTAAACATGTTTTTCTTCTGATGTGATTTAAGCATTGACATGGACTCAGAACCTCAAATTTCGTTGTTTCTCTACGAACAATTGTAATTTTAAGAGTGAAAAACAATTCTAAAACCAGGAAAAAGGAAACTGAGAACATAATTTGGGAGAACATAATTTGGGAAAACATAATTTGGGGAGAAAATTCACAGATTTATGTCAAGGACAGTTTCATAAACTGTGTTATTCCCCCTGAAGCAGGTCCTTTCTCCATCACTGACCATGATATCTAGGCTGCCTACTTTCGGCAATGCATGGCAGTGGCAAGGTATTTACGTTACTGCATGCCACTCAGCACCAAGAAAGGGCTTTAGCTTCACAGGCGTGGTCAGTTCAGATTTCGGAACACATTGCAACACAACAGTTTTTAACGCTGCTCGTTTTATTAGCTGGTGCAACATTACGTCATTCCCATGCGCCTCTAACTGCAGACAACTGAGGGCAGAGCATGGGCCATCTTGGTAGAATAGTCCTTCTTACTCAGTTGCTAACCTTACATCATATTTGGGGTAAGATAAACTTGCATGTTACATATTTGCACGTGTTTTATTGGTATTTGTCATTTTGCGGTGGTGGCGCGTGTAACGTTTCCTCGGAGGTTCACAATATTTCCATCGCCTGATTCGCAGCTGTTTTATGACGTGTAGCCAACATTTATTATATACCTGCACTTGATAGCGCATGTTATGAAAATACTTGCTTTAAAATGTTTATTGACTTGCGACTGCACCTTTGGGACTACACCAAATCGAAGTAATTCATTCAAAGTTTCTGTAGCCACTTTGTGTTTTCATATCTCTTGCTGTAGAGTAGGTATAGGCTTAGCGCTCGAAAAACCTTCTCTCTGCAGGGTTTTCAGCACAAATCCTAGCCTTATATAGGTGTGTAGTAATTTAACCTTTTTTTGTTTTTTGAAAATTATTTATTGCTGATATTAAAGATCCGTTCCTTATGTTTCCAAAACCGTATCGCAAGCGATGCGTGTTCACGTTTAGAGCAAGAGTCGGGGCTCTTAACAAAAGTATCGTTAATCAATAATCGCTGAAGGTAGTTATCATCTATGAATGGGCTTGGATAGTCTATAAGAAAATTCCAAATGTATTTCTCCATTTGTATGCATTATAGGAAACACCCTGCCGACCTGTGACACCAAATATAAGAAAACTAACAAACGGGGAGAGACTGCTTGAACTTGTCCAATAAGAAATGCTATTTTTGCTACAGTGCACTATGAATATGATCCAGATCACATGTACATAAAATATATTGATATAAGGGATTAATTGCATATGACAATTTTGTCATTTGTGAAAAGAGACTTTCATTTTGGCTGTGTTTCAGGGGAGCGGACCTGCCCAGGGTTTCTGTGTAAAGATGGAGGCTGCATTGTCCAGAGTGCTCTCTGTGATGGCACCACAGACTGCCGTGATGGCTCTGACGAGTTAGAAGACCTCTGTGGTAAGAGCTATGGGAAAGATGACACCTCTGCCACCAGGGTTGGGCTCAAGTAACACATGGAACAAATTGCTCTGAAAGTCAGTGTGTGAAGTGCACATTTCTTTATCCATCCGATTTCCTCACAGCCTCTTTCATAATCTTAAACACGGGGGGGGCACATTCACTAAGCCTTTGCACAAATGCAAACTTTGCTTAAAGCGGCAATCAGTAGTTGAAACAATAACAAAGCGTTCTCCCCTGTTTCGGTAAAAGGTTGAGGGCTGGAGAAATTAAACCACTTTCAAATTCATAGGCATAACTATGGATGCAAGGACTGACCATCCATTATATAAAAAATATAGTTTTAACCATGTTTTGAGGTTATATAGGGTTTGTTTACATTTACTTTGTTTACAAACATTGGAGTGAAACTAGCATATATTTTGCGGTACGACAGTTGAACAAAGCTGAGGAGGCATTTCAGTTATATTCTTCAAGAATCAATGGGTACATTTCTTTAATTCAGAAGTCCAACAATGGATGAAGCAACTACACATTGCCCCTTTAAATTCCAGAGGGATTAAAGCATAACAGTAACCAGCAAATCCAGGTTTACAAAATAAAAATACCTAAACAGCAATAAATAAAGCTGAGCTGTGTTAGTACACCAATGACAGAATGTGTAAGGGCAGTGTGCAATATGTAATATGTATGTGGTTGTACGTGATGTGTAGAATATGTATGACATGGGTAACGTACAGTGTATGTATTATGTTGTTGAGTGTGTAATGTACAGTGTCCTTTTTTCTTAGACAATTTTCCCCTTGAGGACATTTTAAGGTTAATTCTATCCTATTCTATACCAAATGGAAAAGTCGGTCAGTTTACTATAATAATAGATAATAATAATAGGTGCAAACTTTGCATTTAAAAGTTTAGGAATTGTGCCCCTTTATTTAAAGTACATGACCACTAATTCCTCTCTATGGGCTCTAATCCTTCCCAGGTGTTCTCCAATGTAAGAAGGATGAGTTTGCCTGCGGCAGTAGGCGATGTGTATCCCTCCGCTTCCGCTGTGATGGCACTGATGACTGTGGCAACGGCAGTGACGAAGCCTCCTGTCAGAACTGTACAGCCGACTCCTTCCTCTGTGAGCGGACAGGGAGATGTGTTGCCAGGGTCAAGCTGTGTGACGGACGGCCCGACTGCCCTGATTGGCAGGACGAGGGCGCTGACGCATGTCCCTCCGGCCAGCCCTCTGCCCCTCACACCTGCTCCAACTCTGAGTTCAGTTGTGGGGACGGCCAGTGTATGCCTCACTCCTGGAGATGTGACCACTCGCCTGACTGTGCTGACGCGAGTGATGAGGACGACTGTGGTGAGATATAACTTTTGTCACTTTAAAACATTACATCTAGATCATTAGGTAGAAAATAGAAGAATATGTACTGAAACGGGGACCACCTGGACTTGTCTAATTTGAACACAACCATGCACTGCTGCTCTCATCCTTATAGACCAGCAGGTGGCAAAATAGTCTAGCCCTCGACTAAAAAGCACTTTCAATTTTCTATTGAGCATGCTTTTAGTCCAGGAGTAGGCTTAAGAAACTGGCAGAACATTCTGGAATTTTAGAGAATATATATTTTTGGTCTGTGCGCTATAAAAGTACAAACGAGCTTTGTTTCACATTCTGTAATGCATTCCCTGATAGCCTACATAGTGTCACATTGTTTGGATAGGTAATGTCCCTTATCACAATGATATCTTTAATTATGTGTGTGTCTAAGCTTCTGTTTTGTTTGGCACGGTACACTCTGCTTGGCTAAAATATTGACATTTAAAGGCAGACTATGTTGGTTGACTAATTTGAATGATGCAGGCACATTTCTTAAGTAATGACAATGGACAAATGTTCTCCAACTTGTTTACGACAATGCTACAGAATGATTGCTCAATGTTCTATTGAACTGTTTTGGTCCTGTATTCACTCTTTCCTGTCACTGACCCTGTATCTCTCCCTGTGTAGATCAGAATGAGTGTCTGGTGAACAATGGTGGTTGTTCTCACCTGTGTGTGGACCAGCCAATGGGCTTCCTCTGTGACTGCCCTGCTGGCATGAGGCTGGTGCACGACTCCCAGTGTGAGGGTGAGTGGCATCTTCGAGAGACATTGATGGGGCCCAGAATTTTCCGGACCATGTGATCAACAGTCGGTCCCAGGTCATGTGGTCAGGATAACTAATTGCCCGAGTAATTGGTCACACCAGCGCACTACAATGCATCTGTGATAATTGGTTGATTAGATGACTCAAATTAAACTTATGGTAGACTCCAATTCACATAGAGTAGATATCCTCTTGAAATAATGAAGTACCCCCTTTTTTCTCAGAAATTGACACGTGCCTCGACACTGACGTCTGCAATCAGCTATGTGTACATGTCAACGGGACTTTCTCCTGCGACTGCCATGAGGGCTACCTGATGAGCCCAAGGACAGGGGAGTGTAAAGCTAAAGGTGAGGGCAAATTCTACTGAATGGGTGAGCTGCTACAGCAAGTTACTGATAGCATATGTTTGCTCACGATGTTTGGAATTTTGTTCACGCTGATATGATTGACGTGACTACTTTATGACCCGAGATAGTTGAAAAGGCAAATGCGTAGGGCAGATGTCATTTTTGACAAAATGCACTGTTTTTGTTGTAAAATGTATTGTAAGAATATGAATAACAGAACGCTACACTGTCCAAAGAACACCTTGTACATCCAACCCCCCCCCCGCACACACACACACAATGGTATGCTTGTTTGTACCAGGACTTCGATACAATTAGATGTTCTAATATTTTCCTGTCACAATGTAAGCCAGTGCAAATATTTATCAACCCACCCGCCCAAGGTGGAGGAATTTGCACCACTTGACAGCTGCCTTTACCTAACAGGATTTTCTATGAAGGTCAATGATTTACTGCAAGTATCTCAATACAAACCTGACCTTCTGAATGTGTGCAGGACAGAGGGCTTGAACAAGGGGTGTGTTGAGCGAACAGCATTTGTTTTGTGATCATCAGAGTAATTAATAAATGATGGCGCTTTCTATTTCTCTAGTCTAGTGAATAGGAAGGATAATTACAGCCAGTATTTGAATCCAAATGTATCATGGGTTGGTTGCGCCTCCATCACTCGGCCGCAGCACGCCATTGTTACGAACGTTCTAAAGACGTCTCAGCCATAGTGACTCCCGAAAGTCGAGCTGTGCCCAGTCATAACGGGGGCTACTGATTGCTGTGTAAATTACACTATAGTGTCTTGGATATCCGATGACATTGCTAAAGTAGGCAGATAAATTGTAGGAAACAACTTTGTCATCATTATTTACTTTAGACAGATAGCAATGTTGCCATCCCTACCGCCCAATGTGGGGAATTTGCACCACTTGACAGCTTCCTTACTGTATTTTATATGAATGTCAATGACTTACAAGTATCTCAACACATACCTGACCTTCTGAATGTGTTCGGGACAGAGGGCTTGAGCAAGCAGCTTTTTTTATGATCATCAGAGTAATTAATGATGGAGCTTTTCATTGCTCTAGTGAATAGGAAGGATAATTACATCAGCCAGTATTAAAAACCAAATGTATTGTTGTTTTCCAACACCAGACCATGCAAGTCAGTCCAGTACCCTGGCAATGAGAATCAAGTATTTCCTCAAGTTTGATCTGAGATTGATTTAATTCAAGAGATTAATGAACTATCTATAGCTAACTTTGTTGATGTGCATATCTAAATAGGAAAAGCACTCACACATCTGAGTGTGCTTGTTGCAGGTGTGTCCGGATAATTCTATGATGATTGGATAATATCTTAAAAGAAAAGAACCCGCAGACTGCCCTTGCCAGTATCACTTTTGATATCTTCGATGATATCTTGAAAGAAAAGTTACTGCTCTTGCCAGTACCTTAACCCTTTACACTCGTGGGAATTGGCCAATATGGATAGGGCTATTGAAATGTTTCTTACAGAAGAGAAATGCATAATCATGGTAGTGATTGAAAGGGAACAGTTTGGAGATTATGGGAAAATTATTAGACCAAAGGTGAGGACATAACAGTTCACCTGACACAAGACTGAATCCAAACATTGCACTGTTTAGTTTTATGTGCATTTTACATTTACTGTGCTTTTCGCCACATTTGTTGATAACTCTGGATACTCTGGATACATTCAGTAACATGATAAGAATATTCCTGGAAAATATGGGTTAGGTGCAACAAAATACAATGTTACAAGGGTTTGAGTGAGAGGACTAACTGGTGTCTGTCTACAAGTGGCCACACACCTCTCCAAAGTGTGCACAGTTCCTAAGTCATTTCAATGCATTTTTATAACTCGGAAAAGCCTTCAACTTTTTTTTTGTTGCTCTCCTAGCTGTGCCATTGAGGAACTAGAGCAAGCACACTTGTAGTTGTTTTGTTTGGAACACAACCCTGTATCCCCGCCATCGCACATTTACTGTTGTTGTTTACACAATCCAAAAACGTTCCATAATAAATCGCAATCTGGGTCAGGTGGACATCATTTGAAAGCTTCTACGATATTAGTGTCAGGCTTTCACAATGCGGTTCAGGGAAACGGATCATAATTTTGATGTGCATAGAAAGGAGTCATGAGTGCGTTCAGGTGTGTGTGCCGCGGCAAACTTAATTCAAAATAGACTAACAGGCTCATTCTGTTCAGAACAACCCAGGGTATGATGCCATGTCATCTTGTAGCTGTACATCAAACAGTGATCATAAATGTTAATATTGTACACTGAGTATACCAAACATTAGGAGCACCCCCCTTTGCCCTCAGAACAGCTTCAATTCGTCGGGGCTTGCTTGTATGACATCAAAGCGGTATTTATTATAATCCTCAACGTCTCATCTGTCAAAATACATCAAATCATCTTAATTTACAGCATTTTCCTCACTCAACAACAAAAAATGTGCAAAGGTTGCCCAATTAGCAGGAGAGATGGGGGCAATGTCTTCTCGTTCGAGGTGCTCAAGTTCAGAACAGCTGCCAGTCTAACCGGTTCTGTGAGGCACAGAGCCAGAGCTCTGATGTCATGTACAGAATATCATGTTACTGTACAGCCACTGCGTTCCAATTTAGCCGTTTGTCAGTGCTCAAATGTTACTAGTGTGAATATTTTAAACGGTAACATTTATTGGGATTTTGAATGTTAATAATAACGTTTTTTTTGCCGATTCTGTTGCAAAGCATTTCCCGCACAGTCATCCTATTTCCCAAGTAGAAATAGCATTTGAATGACCAAAACATCCCCCAAAATATTTATTTTGCTATTAAAATGTTCAGAATTGAAGAAATTGTAATTTTCTTACATTTACATTTTAGTCATTTAGCAGACGCTCTTATCCAGAGCGACTTACAGTTAGTGAGTGCATACATTATTTTATTTTTCATACCTCCCGTGGGAAACGAACCCACAACCCTGGCGTTGCAAACGCCATGCTCTACCAACTGAGCTACATCCCCTTCTTCTCATCTCTAACTACCAGGAAGCCTACAATAACAGGCTGAGTGGGCGGGTAGCTTATATTCATGAGCTCGCCTTGACTGACAGATCTTTGAAACACCCTTGTGGTTGTTGCCATGAATTAAGGTAAAATAATGGTGAGACATCATTTGACAGAAAAAATATATTAGCTCTATAAGCCTAATATAGGCATCCGGCCGCCCACTGATTCGTACAATTTGTAACACTCATCCTACGTCCGAATGCTTGAAAAAAACTATGCAAAGTAACAAAATATGATATATCATGTAAAGGTGAATTACTTAGGCTTTAGGAAATGCAACCAACTACAGAGATTGATGGGGAGCGGGAGAGGAGGGGGACCCGTGTACCCTGCTTCAATCAAGCAGGCTTCAGTCACCCACTTGGCTTCAGTCACCCCCAAGATTGAAGCGGGAGACAAATCCAGCTTTGGCCTCCTCCTTGTCAGGCCTCTCACACTGGGCAGACGGGTCCTGGGATGGACAGCTTACCCAGCTTCCCCACATACGGTGCTGGATCAAGGGTGACCTCGTTGAAGAGGAGACCCAGGAGCCTGACTACGTAGCCTGTAATGTTTTTGGAAAGGGAAATGTTTGTTAAATGGGTAGTGAATTTAATTAACTTTTATTTACTGTTATGATGCTATCTATTTGTTTATGTAGTGATCTTTCTACAATGTGTTTTCTGTTGTTTTTGAAGAACTTTTAATTTGAAATATGCAATATTTGGTTGTGCACTTTTTGTGAAAACTTTCAATGTTTGAATTAGGACTTGTGTGCCTGAAATGCTCAATTGTCTTGAAATGAATAAATATGACTTACATTATGTTGGGTCTTTCTTCACAGGCTTTGCCTTGGGAAAGCTGATTTTGTGTCACAGCATTGCTGCGGGGTGGTTGCCTTGGAATAGTGGAAAGGCATTGGAAAGTGAAATGATAATACACCTCCCCCCAGGGGTAAATTGCAAATACTATACACACTAGGGTTGAATATTTACCCGGTATTTTACAAATGTTCCATCCCCAGAATAAATCACTTTTCTCCCGGGTAACCTAGTATTTCCCGCCAAAATCGGAAGCGTCATTGAAAAGCATTATAAAGCATATAAATAGGCCTACAGTGCCTTCGGAAAGTATTCAGTCCCCTTGACTTTTTCAACATTTTGTTATGTTACAGCCTTAATCTAAAATGGAATAAATAAAATCTCTCAGCAATCTACACACAATACCCCGTAATGAAAAGCGAAAACAGGTTATTAGAAATGTTTGCAAATTTAAAAACAGAAATACCTTATTTACATAAGTATTCAGAGCCTTTGCTTTGAGACTCGAAATTGAGAACCAGGTGCATCCTGTTTCCATTCGTCATCCTTGAGATGTTTCTACAACTTGGTTGGAGTCCACCTGTGGTAAATTCAATTAATTGGACATGTTGACATTGCATGTCAGTGCAAAAACCAAGTCATGAGGTGGAAGGAATTGTCCGCAGAGCTCAGAGACAGGATTGTGTCGAAGCACAGATCTGGGGAAGGGTACCAAAACATTTCTGCAGCATTGAAGGTCCCCAAGAACACAGTGGCCTCCATCATTCTTAAATGGAAGAAGTTTGGAACCACCAAGACTCTTGCTAGAGCTGGCAGCCCGGCCAAACTGAGCAATCGGGGGAGAAGGGCCTTGGTCAGGGAGGTGACCAAGAACCCAATGGTCACTCTGACAGAGGTCCAGAGTTCCTCTGTGGAGATGGGAGAACCTTCCAGAAGGACAACCATCTCTGCAGCACTCCACCAATCAGGCATTTTTGGTAGAGTGGCCAGATGGAAGCCACTCCTCAGTAAATGGCACATGACAGCCCGCTTGGAGTTTGGCAAAAGGCACCTAAAGACTCTCAGACCATGAGAAACAAGATTATCTGGTCTGATGAAACCAAGATTGAACTATTTTGCCTGAATGCCAAGCGTCACATCTGGAGT